GTAGAGCCAGCACAGGTGTTAATAGGTAGTGTATCTGTAGAGCTAGCACAGGTGTTAATAGGTAGTGTATCTGTAGAGCCAGCACAGGTGTTAATAGGTAGTGTATCTGTAGAGCTAGCACAGGTGTTAATAGGTAGTGTATCTGTAGAGCCAGCACAGGTGTTAATAGGTAGTGTATCTGTAGAGCTAGCACAGGTGTTAATAGGTAGTGTATCTGTAGAGCCAGCACAGGTGTTAATAGGTAGTGTCTGTGGAAGGCCAGCACAGGTATTAATAGGTAGTGTATCTGTAGAGCCAGCACAGGTGTTAATGGGTAGGTGTATCTGTAGAGGCCAGCACAGGTGTTAATAGGTAGTGTATCTGTAGAGCCAGCACAGGTGTTAATAATTGAGTGTATCCTGTAGAGAGCCAGCACAGGTGTTAATAGGTAGTGTATGGCAGAGCCAGCACAGGTGTTAATAGGTAGTGTATCTGTAGAGCCAGCACAGGTGTTAATAGGTAATGTATCTGTAGAGCCAGCACAGGTGTTAATGGGTAGTGTATCTGTAGAGCCAGCACAGGTGTTAATAGGTAGTGTATCTCTAAGAGCCAGCACAGGTGTTAATAGGTAGTGTATCTGTAGAGCCAACTGGAGTGTTAATGAGTAGTATCTGTAAGAGCCAGCACAGGTGTTAGCTAGGTAGTGTATCTGTAGAGCCTTTACAGGTGTTAATAGGTAGTATCTGGCAGAGCCAGCACAGGTGTTAATAGGTAGTGTATCTGTAGAGCCAGCACAGGTGTTAATAGGTAGTGTATCTGTAGAGCCAGCACAGGTGTTAATAGGTAGTGTATCTGTAGAGCCAGCACAGGTGTTATAGGTAGTGTATCTGTAGAGCCAGCACAGGTGGGGTAAATTCTGAGGTATGTTGCAATGATACACACGTACTTGGTGTATATATAAACTAACAGGTGTTAAAAATTGCCGCAGGTGTGTGTTATTTCTCTCGTAGACAAAGATGTAATATTTTGTAACACAATAATGTAAACACTGTATTATGAGAGCTATATTATTCTCAGTGTGAAAGAAATATTATCAGGTTTAATTATTATTATATTTAATGTAGTCTGTTTCTATTGTCAGGTCAAATAATGTTTATGGTGATGGAATGTTGCTTTTAAAACACCAAAATATATTACCTGATAACTATTTGCTATCATAAAACTTTTAATACCAAGAAATGTATTATTGTTTCATGTAATTATGTTGTGGTAATATTTGTTTTAGTGTGAAAAAGAGAAGTATTATCCGATCCAATTATTTCTGTCATATTGGGGAATTGTTTTTATTGTCATATTTCCTGGCGTTTGGGTGATTTTTTTTTTTTTACGTTTTCTTTTGCGTTTTAAATGTTGAAGTACAATTACGGGAGGAGATAAGCCTTGTTTTATGTGCTGGATCTGTTAGTATTTACGACGACCGGTCCCTCCCACCCCGCCGCCCGCCACTCACGGGTAACACTGGCACAAGCGCCGTTTTCATTTAAACACTGGTTGAGTATTGATCCTACGTCAGTGCCCCCCCCACTGCTACCCTCTCCCCTCTCCCTACTTCACCCTCCCCCGCACCTTACTTCTCCCCACCCTTCATCTTCCTTCTTCCTATCCTCTTCCTACCTCGCCCCCCCCTCACTTTACCTCTACTTACCACTCCTCCTTTTTCCCTTCCTCTCGTCCTCCTCCCCACTTCATTCTCCTCCTTCTCCATTCTTCACCCCTTCTCCCTATCCCTCCCTCTTCCTCCCATCCTGCCACTCTGTGTATCGGGTGCCTTACTACTCTAGGACCTCTCCACCAATCACATGGCTCGAAATCCTTCCCCACTTGTCGGAGGCTCTAGCGGGCGTAAAATCCACCTTCACCTCCCCAGACCTCCTCCCTAACCCCCACCCCCACCCTTATCTCAGTCTCCCCCCCCCCCTCCCTGTTTTCTACCACCCTACCCACCCCAAACTTTTCCCTCCCTCACCTCCCCAAACCTTTTCCCTCCCTCACCTCCCCAAACCACTTCCCTCTCAACTCCCCAAGCACTTCCCCACCCTACCTCCCCAGATCTCTCCCTCCTGCCTTCTACGCCATGTCCTCCCCTCCCCAAGATCTAGCCTTCCTCCAACCTTCTCTACTCCCCAACCTCCAGGAACCTCCACCTCAAACCTTATCCCCACTTCCCCACATCCTCCCCATCTCCTAAACTCCTGCCACCTCCTGAAACCTCCTCCACGAGTTACCCCTCACTTCTCTCCACCCTACCTTCATCCCTTCTCCTCTCCCCTCCCCACCCTCATCCTCTCCCCTCCCCACCCTCATCCCTCCCCACCCCCCTCCCTCCCCCCCTCCCTCCTCCCCTCCTCCCCTCCCTCCTCCCCCTCCTCCCCCTCCCCTCCTCCCCCTCCCCTCCCTCCCCTCCTCCTCCCCACCCTCCTCCCCTCCTCCTCCCCCTCCCCTCTCCCCCTCCCCATCCTCCCCAAAATATTAAGGGTGTGTTGTAAGGCAGTAAATTAATAGCTCCAGTGACCTGAAACATATCGCCTTCTCCTTAAATATCACCTCTTGCTTGTGTAAACTTCGAGAGCCGCGTGTAAATGGTGTAAATGAAAGGTATGAATGTTGTGAATTAATGATGTAAATGCACTTTTTAGAAGTCGTAAATTAAAGTTGTAAATAATAACCAATATTGTAAAAAGAGTAAATGAATTATGGAAATTGACGTTATATGTTTGTTTTTGTTTTTTTTCTTTTTTAATGGTGTCAATGAATGTTATAAATTTATGTAAATTGAATATTGTAACTTTTGTAAAGCCCTTGTCCCTCCCTCCCACTCCTTCCTTCACCCCCTCCCTCCCCCACTCCTTCCTTCACCCCCTCCCCTCTCTTTACAGCCATCCTCTCATCTACTTGTCTCTTTGGGGATAATAACAATCGTTCTCTCTCTCTCTCTCTCTCTCTCTCTCTTCCCCCCTTTCTACACCCATCTTTCTCCTTATCTGCCATTTCCCCCATCTATTTTACTTTATCGTGTCCCTCCCATTTCGTTTTCTTTCCCCATTTCACTGTCTCCTTATTCTTTTACTTTTCCTCTCACCTCCCTCCTTTTTCCCTTCTTATCACCCTTCTCCTCTCCTCCCTCCCACTTCCCGTTCCCCTACCCTACCACTTTCCTGTTCACTTTCCCTGTCCCTAACTTCCTTCCATCCCCCCTTTTTCCCTTCCCTTCCCTTTTTCCCTTCCTCTTTGTCCCTTCCCTCCCTCCTATCACATTCCTGTTCCCCTGCCCCTCTTTCCCTTCCCTCCACCTATATTCCTTTCCTTCCCCCTCTCTCCCTTCCCTCCCTGCCACAGTCTACAGCCTCCTTGCTCCGACTGTGGAAGGTGTGGCTGTGTTAAGTGTGACAGTGGTGTAGAAATGGGTGGTGCGGTTCTGGATGGTGTGGCAGTGGGTGGTGTGACAGTAAGTGTGTAGCTGTGGGTGGTGTGGCAGTAAGTATGTTGGTGTGGTTAACCTCCATGCCGCCACCAAAAAGTGACCCTCCACCGATTTGCCGGTTAATTAGATTGTGGAGGTCAGGGGGACAGGTTGTTGACGCTGCTAATGAATGGCTCGCTGATCCCCGCCTGCTGAGTACACCTTTTTGTTGTCGGAGGTTACCTGGGGGAAGTGTGTGTGTGTGTGTGTGTGTGTGTGAGTGTGTGAGTGTGTGTGTGTGTGTGTGTGTGTGTGTGTGTGTGTGCGCGCGCCGTCACGACTCCAGCAACACTCCCATAACACCATCATCACCCTCACACCATCACCACATCATCATCAACCACACAACACCACCACCACAACACCACCACAACACAGAAACAAGGGTTCTCGAGAAAAGTTTGAGTCAGAACAGCCTAAGGCGCGAGAGGTAAAACGTCTTGATTGAATTTCGGGTGAAGTTAGGTCGAATTACTGTACTTCCCGGGCAAAAGAGTTGACCCATTCACCTGCTGAGTTGATTGGATTGAATCATATTGTAAGGGAGAGTTGATGAATTATTTGTGTGTGTGTGATACGTATGGATTCTACATGGGTGTTTCCAGGTGTGGTAGAGGAGTATTTCACACACCTGTCTTACCCCGTAAAGCAACAAACAGGTACTCGCAGGTGTGTTCTTGTGTGGTGGTGGAGCAGGTGTGTGAAATCCTCCTCCACCACACACCTGGCTTAGGGGTGGGGAGCATAGTGGTGAGTATTGAACGTGTGTGGGGGGGAGGGGGTGTGGAGGGAGGGCGTTGACTGCTGGTGGACCCCGCCATTGGGTCCTCCTGCCCGGCATTATACTCTGTGAAACTTGCCTGCCATACCCAGGTCTGTGCCTTACCCACCCCTTCCTTGGTAACTTCGCTTACACACACACACACACATATTCTCTCTCTCTCTCTCTCTCTCTCTCTCTCTCTCTTCACTTTCCTCCACACGAGAATTCATCGGAAAATTCACCGTCTGACGCGTTTGACAGAGCGAAAATATAAACATGCCAAAATTATGACAAGGAGTGAAGGAGGGAGGGAAGGGGATGGAAGGAGGGAGGGAGGAAGGGGTGGAGGGAAGGAGAGGGTAGAGGGAAGGAGAGGGTGGAGGGAAGGAGAGAGGGGAGGGAAGGAGGAGAGAGGGGAGAGGAAGGTCGTGTGGTTATGTGTTCAGTGTTTCTATCTGTTGGTGTCAGAAATGAGTTTTGCTACAGTAGAATATATTGTCAATTTCCACTAAATGAGTTGGACAAAAATATGTATATTGAATTAATATGGAAAATGTCCCTCCCTCATCAAATTGAAAGAACCACTTCATTCATTCATGCAGGAAGTCATCACAGTGCGGGGTTATTTTGTGTATAATTTTACATTGGTATTCAAATATATTTTTTTATATATATACCAAAGTACGAATAATATACATTGTGAATAAGTTGTATAATTACATATAACTCGAGACCCAGGCCCCAGAGGTACACGAGACCCAGGCCCCAGAGGTACACGAGACCCAGGCCCCAGAGCTACACGGACCCAATTTGAGGCTGAGACCCAGGCCCCAGAGGCACACACGGACCCAGGCCCCAGAGGGTACACGAGACCCAGGCCCCAGGGGTACACGAGACCCAGGCCCCCAGGCTACGAGACCCAGGCCCCCAGAGCTACACGAGACCCAGGCCCCAGAGGCTAGGACCCAGGCCCCAGGCTACACGAGGACCCAGGCCCCAGAGCTACACGAGACCCAGGCCCCAAGAGCTACACGAGACCCAGGCCCCAGAACACACGAGACCCAGACTAGGCTACACGAGACCCAGGCCCAGAGGCTACACGGACCCAGGCCCCAGAGTACACAGGACCCAGGCCCAGGCTACACAGGACCCAGGCCCCAGAGGCTACGAGGACCCAGGCCCCAGGCTACGAGGACCCAGGCCCCAGAGCTACACGAGACCCAGGCCCCAGAGCTACACGAGACCCAGGCCCCAGAACGACTTGGTGACGTGTGTTAAGTATGGAGAAAATTCCACCGTGCTGTCTCGGTGGGAATGTTGTTGAGACTCGCTTATGTAAACAAATGTTTGAATCAGCTGGTGGTGAACGTTGCAGCACGAGCGTGTAGTGTAGTGTAGTGTAGTGTAGTGTAGTGTTGGGTGTGTTAAAATATTTGCTGTGGCTCGCCGTCTGAGAACGACGCCTGGGAGGACAAAATTACAATACGACAAGTGTGACCGATGGTGCGATAGAGGAATATTAGAATAAACGTCAAAGGAAACCCCAGCAGGAAATAAATTAAGAAACAACAAAATGCAATGTAGACGTTGTGCTTTCTTGATGAACACGTGCACACACACACACACACACAGGTACAAGTGTGAGAGAATTAAACAACAAAGTTTGGCTACTTGTAAACGTTCTCGCCTCTTAACTCTTTAAAAGTCTCCCCCTCTTGTATATGTCAACACACTCAAGAGGATGGCGTGTGACCTCTTGAGTTCAGCTGTTTTCCTTCTTCTCTTGGAGGTGTTGCTCTTGCTTCATTTCCTTCATGAAGATAATGTTTTCGTTTCATTTCATCACATTTAGTGTCGATTACTTTTAATATTACTTAAGAGTAAATTAATCACCTGGCTATTATAACTTTAGCCGCCCAGGTGTGTGGGTTTATCTACAGGATGTCTCAGAAAAATTTTACACACACACACACACACACACACACACATTTTTCTGGGCCCTTTGTAAACGGTGCTGTCTGTGTGTAGGGGATGACTGTATGTTGTTCATTTTTTCTCTCTTGCGTCTGTCAGCATCAAGGGAAGACGGGGGACGGCTTTGTACGGCGGCAGTGAGACGTTCTTTATAGAAGAACGAATTTATAGCAGTGACATTAAAAGCAGCATGGGCATGGGTGGAGGCGTGGGCGGAGGCGTGGGCGATGGGTTTGTTGCGGGGCTGTTCTGGCTGGGAAATAAATGGCGAGTACAGTACTAGTGCGTGTGGGATAATGCTAAGGGAGTTTGTGTGTGTGTGCCCGCGCGCGCAGGGCAATGTACTAGCAGGGTGAGAGAGACAGTAGGGAGGTGTACTAACTAGCAGGGCGAGAGAGATAGTAGGGAGATGTACTAACTAGCAGGGCGAGAGAGACAATAGGGAGATGTACTAACTACCAGGGTGAGAGAGACAGTAGGGAGATGTACTAACTAGCAGGGCGAGAGAGACAGCAGGGAGATGTACTAACTACCAGGGTGAGAGAGACAGTAGGGAGATGTACTAGCAAAGTGAGAAATAGTAGTTGAGCGGGTAGAGGAAAGTAGCAATGAGGTGAGAGACGAGGGAAGCTATTTCTACAGTACCTCACTGAGACTACCCCGGAGCAGAAATAGATCAGAAACATAAATTTCGACTTCGAGCATCAGCTGTGACGTGCCGGGGGGGGCGGCGACAGATGGCTTATCTTTATCACCTATCGCTACCATCTACCTCCACCATCTACCACTGTCATCTACCACCAAACACCTACTACCACCAACTATCGACACAACTACCATCTACTATCACCTACCACCATCCCCAACCAGCCTACCAGATTTTCTCTGTTTCGTTCTTACAAACACACACACTCCTCTCTCTCTCTCTCTCTCTCTCTCTCTCTCTCTCTCTCTCTCTCTCTCTCTCTCTCTCTCTCTCTCTCTCTCCAATATACAACAGACGTGATACAACAGTCCTTAATACAGCACACTCATGGTACAACATAAACTCAAGTGTCACTTAGGTGAGAGAGAGAGAGAGAGAGTATGTTTACATTTTCATTATTAATTTGATACTGTGGGAAAGATACACAAAATTTTGATAGGGAGTTTTTTTAAGTAAATTTACGACGTGATGGCTGTGTGTTGACGTTACTGCACTACACAGAAACAGTATATTTTGTTACGTGTTCAGCGGTCGGTGTAGGGTGTACTGAATCACTTGTTACGAGGTCGGTGTAGGGTGTACTGAATCACTTGTTACGAGGTCGGTGTAGGGTGTACTGAATCACTTGTTACGAGGTCGGTGTAGGGTGTACTGAATCACTTGTTACGAGGTCGGTGTAGGGTGTACTGAATCACTTGTTACGAGGTCGGTGTAGGGTGTACTCTTAGTCGTTTGAAGAGAGTGATGGAGAGGAGGAGAGTATGTAAGGATGATTATTTTTTCTGGGTCACTGTCAGGAGTAGTGAAGATGTATGATTATAATTTAATTTTAGTGTGTGGAACAGTGAAAGTTGTCCTGGGAGCCAAGGGAAGGTGGAGAGTGGCAGGTGTTGAAGACGTGCATCTCAGCAGGTGACAGTAATTCATGGCGTAAGGTTCAAATTAAAATGAATAAGACTGACTGACCTCCAGTAGTGAGTGCTTACAAAGGTACAGTTGCGGCCAAACGTTCCTGAATACTTAGCAATATCTGGTATCCAATTCTGAGTCATATGATTGGTTTATATCTAATGAAGCTGCTCTTTATCGCACATTAATTATCTGAACCACAAAATGAAGAAAAAAAATCCTTATACAAAAAAAAGGAGAAAAATCTTAAAATTACAATCACTTTCACCTAATAATCAAGTATTTACCTGCCAGATACTGTCAGGTGTCCAGGAAATTTTGTCCACAACTCTACATCCAGGAATAAATGACAAGGTGGTAGAGGCAAATACTGTAGATTGTGAATCACGGATGACAGTAGATGACAGGAGCTATTGAGGCATACAATTATTTCCTGACAGTCACCTTGGAGTACTGTATATGACAGAGGCTCGCGAGGCTGACAGGTCCTGATAAAATGATAGAACATGGCGAGAGAGCCAGTTAGGTCCTGACAGTGACGTATAGTAATAAATGACAGAACTTGGCGAGACTGACAGTTATGCCCTGATAGTCCGCTGTTGTCCCTGACTCGTTATAAATATTACAGAAATGAATGAGTTTTCCTGCCAGGCATTACACACAATGTAAACACTCCTGGTCAAGTTGTTTCCTAATGAATGGTTACAAAAAGTAATTTACATCATTTCTTGTAAAGAAAACAACCCAATTGCACTTATATAAAACCATCTTAATGAGTTGTATATAAAAAAAAATACACACTACTGTCATCGTATTGTCTGGAGCTTCCTGTAAAACCATGAAACTTGTTTAAATAAAATCCCCATAATGACTACTTTAGAGAAAAACCAGACACAGGTATAATAATGTATGGCAGTTACCTGTTACTTGAAGCTCAATTATATAATATCACGTTAATCAATTATTTGGAGGAAAAATGCACCTGTGTAATTATACCATCTGTATAACTTTTCCCGAAATCAGGACAAGCTTTCTCTTCGGTAATGTTATGTAGATTGTGTTTAAGAAGGAAGTTAATGTCGTCTTGAGTTGTGGGGGAAGACCTTCACCCAAGAGCACCGGGGTCCAGGCGTACAGGAGCCTTCAGTAGACTCCAAGCCATGTAGACTAAGAGGTCCGGTTGACTCGAGACCCAGTAAACTCGAGACCCGGTAAACTCGAGACCCGGTGCACCCGAGACCCGGTACACCCGGGATCCATTTAAGATTACACTGACAGAAGTTCGTACAGCAGGAATCGTAACTTGTAATGTGAGAATGTGTTGACGATCCAATTCTCAACAGTCGTAACATATACTTCCCCCCACCTCATACCCCCATACCTCCCACCCCATCTTCCTCCCACCCCATCTTCCCCCCACCCCATCTTCCCCACCCCATCTTCCCCACCCATCTTCCCCACCCCATCTTCCCCCCACATCTTCCCCCACCCCATCTTCCACACCCCATCTTCCCCCACCCCATCTTCCCCCCACCCCATCTTCCCCCCACCCCATCTTCCCCACCCATCTTCCCCACCCCATCTTCCCCACCCCATCTTTACACCCCATCTTCCCCACCCATCTTCCCCACCCCATCTTCCCCCACCCCATCTTCCCCCACCCCATCTTCCCCACCCCATCTTCCCCCACCCCATCTTCCCCCACCCCATCTTCCCCACCCCATCTTCCCCCCCACCCCCGCGCTAGTACCGTGGATTACCTTTTTTGAGAACTCTTATATACCAGTTAAGCGGAAAAATATACCGTACGATACTTGGTGACTTTAAGGATTGAAGCAGCGGCCATTGTTATTCCACAAGAAGTGCGGCGGCTATTTTTCTGGAGTGTTGATCATAAACTAGAATGGGTTTTTTATATAGTGATGCTGAATATAAGGCCTGTCTGTGTGTGTGTGTGTGCCCGCCTGTGTGGGGACGTGAGACACAAGGGTGTGGAGAGAGGTTAAGCCTGTTGATCTTCCTCTAACGGAGAAAGTTTAATTTGCAGGACTTAAGCTGATTGCCTTCTGTTGCTGCCCACCAGGTTTACACACACACACACACACACACACACACACACAACAAGAGGTCTTGGCGGCCCGTATCCGCGACAAGAGTGTGGTTGGTTCATTAAACTTGGTGACCCCAACAACACCTCAGTCAGCATTAACATGTAAATGCCTCTGCCTGCCTCATAATGGGAGAATTTGAGGCAGTTGTCTCTGCCGGTGTTGGTCCGCCCGCCTGTTGATATGTGGAGGAGGAGGAGGAGGAGGAGGAGGAGAATGAAACTCTTGGGGGAGGGAGGAGGAGGAGGGAGGAAAGGATGGGAAAAGCTCTTGAGGAAGGTAGGAGGAGGAGGTGGGAAAAACTCTTGGAGGGCAGGGAAGGGAGGAGGAGGAGGCTGTAAGTGAGGGAAGGAGAATAGTACGAAGGAGAGGACGAGTTTGTTTGGTTGAGGGTTTGTTAAGAGAGTCTCTCTTAATTATTTACTCGCGCAATTTTATCTTGATTCTCCTTCTTTTTCCAGGTAAGACGAGTTGTGGTGTCGGTCGGTGGGTGAGTAAGTCAATCAGTGAGAGATAAAGGTGAGTTAAGAGAGTGGATGAGCCATACGCTCCCCCTTCTCCCTCAGGTAAGGCGCGAGGCA